CTCCCCTCTCTCTCTCCGCGCAGCGCCCGGTCGCCGGGGCAGGGTAATGTATCGGGGCTCCTCCACCCACCCAATGCAATGCATGTGCACGAGAGTGTCTGCCAAGTGCCGCGGGTCTTGGCGGGGCGGGGCGGGGCTTAAGGAACCGCGCCGGGTCGTTGCCTCGCAGCCCGCCCCGCTCCCGCCCCGCTCCCGCCGCTCCAGCATACCGCACCGCTCCGTATCCGCCACTACGGGGCCCCGTGCCAAAACAACCCGGCCGGCCTAGCACAATCGGATGCGTTTGTCCAGTTTGTCAGGTCGGAGCGTGCATGGCGGGGCGAGGAGGACGACTCGCCGCAAACACCGGCAACTTACGGCACATCGTCATGTCGCGACTGAAATGGAAAGGGTATCTATGCCCCCCCCCCCCCCCCACTCCTCTCCTCACGGAGACTGTAATAGCGCGCGCTATCGGAGAGAGGCGTAGCAGTGCCCCCAACTAGCCCTCGCCCTCCTCACCTCCTCGCCATCCACCGCGCGCCGGCGGTGAGGCAAAGTAATTTGGAGCACCATTCCAAGTCAATAGGACGACTCTGGAGCTGCTGAGCAGGGGGATAAAGCCACACGCTGTCGAGTCACACACCATGATGGGTCACCGCGGGGTGCCATGTCGCCAACGTCTTCCGGGGAACCCCTGCAGAGTGCTGCGTCTGCGAGTACCTGCAAAGTGACAGAGTCCCTACAAAGGAGTCCCTGCGAAATTTGCAGAGTCCCTGCTAAGTGCGCGGCAGTCCCTCCTCCCTGCTAAGTGCCCCGAGTCCCTGCTAAAAGTGCGCCGAATACAAAAGTGCCGGAGTCTGTGCAGAGCGAGGTGCTCAGTGCCGTGCCGTGGTCTGCGTCGAGCCGGGGCACCTGGGTTCCCCGCCGCGCGCCGGAGCCCGGAGTCGCCCGGCGCCGGATCCTGGCGCCGTTCTGATTGGGCGTGGCTTGGCGGGGCGTCCACTCCGGCCCGGGCGTGGTCGGTCCCCGTTTGCAGCGTTTTCGTAGCCTTGCTCGGCCTTGCGATACGCCCACGACCTTCATCACGCCGTGATACTGAATGAGGGGAAGGGGGAGCGGCGGGGGCGTCGCCATCAGCAGGTGTCTTCGTGTTTAAGCCCCAATGGAGAGTTACATTATGTTTTATTCAATCGGTCCGAATTTCCCTTTGTCGGCTAGAGTCGCCGGTCGCCGGCCAGGCGACCGTTAGGCGACAAGTCGCTGAGGACGATGTGTTGTTCCTCGTCATGACGGCTGCCTCGTGGATTCCCATGGAATGCCATTAATTCTCTCTCCGCCCGCTCGATCAAAATCGGAATCGGTTTGCGGACCCGGCGGCGCCGCGGATCGAGACACGCGTCGCCCAACTCTCACGTCAAACTGCTCTCTGCCTCCTGGCTGGGAAAAAATGAAACCTGCTGTGGAGCCGTTTTAATTTTGGCAGTGTCGTGTGGGCCGTGGCCACTGGCCAGCCACACCCATGGCCCGTGGCGTTGGTGTGCGAGCCGTGCGTGCGTGCGCGCCGGCGTGAGCGCATTGCATCTCGCGTCCTGCTCCGGGGCAAATCATGACGACTACTGGCAGCCGCATGCCGCGAAAAAAACAAAATTGGAGAAAAAACAAAACTGAGAAAATGGCAGAATGGGAACCAGTAAAACAAAACACATCTGCTCTGCCTTATCGAGACGGTCACGTACAGAGTTAATAAGCCCAGCAGCGCAACGCAGCAGTGCACGGCACCACTCCGCAGTCCTATCTGCTGTGCTGGCTGAACAAAAGCGTCTCTTCTTCTCGCTCCCGATATTGGCGGGGAGTGCATCCTGTTCGGCCCTCCTCCTTGCCTCCCGCCTCCTCGCACTGGGCCGTAATGGCACGGTCCTCCGGTAATCACGGGACGCGGCTGGCGGGGCGGGGGCGCGGGGGCTGGGCGGGGAATGCCGCCGGGCACGGGCGTGCGGCGGCCTGCCTACCCGGTGATGGTCAGGCGCTCGGAGCCGCCCGCCGGGCACGGGCGTGCGGCGGCCTGCCTACC